CTGTGAAATTATCGGTCTTCATTCTCGTCGGGATTGAACAGTGGCGAGATATAATTAATGATAAGGCTGACGTCAATGTCGACATAATGATATCATTTAAATACGGCAATAGCGGCGCTTTCGGCATTTTTCGCCAAGAGCGCCGGGATACAAATTGATTTACAGGAGCGATTCGTTTATGCGCCCGTAAATATTGCACGAAGGCAAATTGGAAAATATTAAAGTCACCTAATTCCATGCATGCGCGCGCGCGCGCGTTCCCGCGCGGCGTAACGAATTTTTTAAAATGGGAATTTCATTCCGCATTTATGTCTTTCTTTTACGCAAGCGCCGCTTTGCCGACGCGAGATTCAATCTTTCGTGCCGTATTTCGCCGTATGTCGCGCGTCAGCTCTCGATGGCACACTTTCCCCGTGCAAATTTTTTTTTAATTTCCTGCCTCGTCAGCTTTGTTTCGCGGCGGAATCACGCCTTCGTTCTCCGTAATCATTCAATTTATCTGCTGCCGCCGAAAAACTAGGTCAAGAACGATCCTACACACGTCCGGAATGAAAAAAGGTATTGTACTATTCGCTCGTGAAAAAAAAAAAAAGAGAAAAAATTTGTAGACTCAGCAAATTAATATTGACGTCACATTGAGAGAGAGATGTAAAACGCTCGGGGAACATTTCTTCATAATTACATCAATATCTCCTTTCTGTATGTCGGTCTTTACATTACATCGACTGTGTAATTTATAAATTTATATTGATCGTCGATAATTCGCGCAAAGGCGTAGGCCGAATAACAAGTTTTTCTAAAAATATTATGTCGCTCTTTCATGTTTTCTTTAAACCCTCTGTCCTTCCTCTGCCGCCTATTATCTATCTAATAATTTGCTGAAAGCCTCGCCAGTCAGCATCACTATTCCGTGACCGATGCATCTACCCCCCCCGTGTAACATCGCGAGAGACCGGGCGGAAGGGTGACGGGGGAAAAGGGGTGAATCGCTCGAGCTCATTTCGCGCTGCGCGCTCGGCGAAGCGCGACGTGCCGGGGATTCGTTCCGTTTCGAATATCAAAAACAATTCACCACCCGACGAGGACCGTCGCCGCCACGCGACCGGGAAGGGTTGACGGAGGCTCTCTCTCCCGCGCAACTTCCGCCGTCGAGGGGATGCGGACGGATTTTAGGTGGACTGCAGTAATACGAGGGGTGATCATCCTCTCGGACGGAACGACGACGGATATTAAAGCGCGTGCGGAACGCTGCTCTTTATGCCATTAAATACACCCACGCAGCGCGCAGCCCCACACCAGTCGCGCCCGATTGTCGTCCCGCGTTTTGCGGGGGTGCGAACGCACCCCTGCGGTGCGGCGCGTTCAGGAGGAAAGTATTGCGGCTTGCAATTGATTTCGAGAAATGACGAGGGATGGGAAAGTTTCAGTTAATTATTAGCCGTACCCGTTAACGTGCGTGAGAGACAGATCTTTTAATTTTGCCCGTGGGAAATAGAGAAAGACAAATATATATATAAAGATAAATGTACAAGGATAGACAGATATGATTCCTCGTATATACCGAGGCTTGATTTTATAATCATTGTTTTAATATTAACCGAGTAATCACCCCCCCCGGCTGGTATTTGACGAATTCGCGATAACTGTCATTTTGAAACAACGTGATGTAATAATCGGCGCCGCATAATGGGTGTAAATTAATTTTTGATTGGCTCGACAATCCGCCGCGAGGATTATACCGCGGGCTCTATATTTTGCGCTTATTTACTTATTAACGGCGTAGCACGGTGTTTGAACGGTGATCGAAATACATCTCCAAGGGAAAGCGGCGGAATATTTTCATTCGATCAGACGATACGACGTTCAATATTTTATTTGCCGTTTGACGTTAAACATTTAATCGCGGCGGCACAATATTGAAACGCGCGGTTGCAATACCAATAATGATCCACTTTCGGCGATCAAATTTGGAATGTACACGCTGCCGAGTTTCATCGACGCGTTCATTCGCCGGGAACGCCGGATTCGAACGGCGGATATATTTTGACGCTACGGGAATGCCGATCTCTCCGCGTCATTAGACCTCTAATTGAGAAGAGTTCTTTCTCCCTGAAATTAGGCAACACCGAGCTCACGGTCAAATTATATTGCGGTCGATAAACGGCAATACACGCGGAAAATTGAAGATATAAAATCGCAACGGGCGCACCTATTCCGCGCGATCGATTTTCAATCCGCCTCGCGCCGAAACGAATGGAACACCTTCCATTTCATCGGTCAATAATTTAAGACGCGAAGATGCGAAAAATCAAATGTCGCTAAGGATTAAACATACGAGCACAGGCAGATTCGTCCTACTATCCCCTGGCGAACGACTCAACCCCCGCGGTGGTTTTATTGCGTCGGAGATGGGACGAGGAAAATGATTGAGTTCGACGTTTCGATGGCGGTCGGTGGTTTTCGATTGTTTCCGAGCGAAATTAAGAGGCTTACAACGACGAGCCCTCCGAATTGACCTCCCTTGAAATCGCAGCGATTTTCGGGGACAGCTCGAATCTCCACGATAAATTCCTGCAATAAATTACAAGACGGAAAAGCCCGAACGATAAATTGTACATCGTAATAAAAGATTTATCGAGCGTATGCGTTATTTTGTTTACTCTTTCTCTCCCTCACTCCTCTCTCTCTCGCACTCTGTCTTCTCTCTCTCTCTCTCTCTCTCTCTCTCTCTCTCTCTCTAGCCGCGCGCAACCGCCATAATCCAGATCTACCAACGCCTGAGCTTTCGCGTGGGGTTCATCGCGTTCGGATTGGCGTTTGCGCCTGCTGTTTGATCCCGTAACGTCGGCAAATCGATTCGATTATTTAAGATTACTGGTCGCGATTTCTAATCTTAGCTTAGACCTAAGATTAGCATTTATTGATATCCGAGTATAAGCTGTAAATGCAGAACGAAAGATGATACGTTGAGAGAGCCGGTAATAATTATGAATATCGAACATGGTGACAGGAAAGCATTTTGTTAATTATAATTATATAATCAGAAAGATTTTATAACAAAATTAATTGAATGTACTAAATAATCTTAAATTTATTGTCATCTTGATCATTCAATGATAGAGTTCCAATTTAATTTGAAAAAGAACAAATATGTCGAAGTATCGAAAATATAGGACTCTTTATGAAATAAACTTAAGAGAGATAAAATAAATAACAAAAATTTATTAGATCGGTGAAAAAGATCAAGTTTTGCATTAAATAAAACCAAAAAAATGTTGAAAAGATTGATAAGTGTCTTTGAAAAAGAATTTTGAAACCTATAGCGACAATTTGATTAAAATTTTCAATTCTCTTTGATGAAAGAATAACAAATTTGTTGATAATAATTTTAATAATAATAATTTAATAATAAATTCTTTCAGTTCTTTATTCCATGTAATAAGTTGTACTATAATAGAATTTTAATTTTATGTTGGAGAATTGCAAATATTTGAAATTTACAACAAGCAATGATTTTTTTCAATAATGTTACTTATGTTACATCGGCTGTAGATTAATGAATAATATAAGTTATTTTATAGAATATCTAATAAAATTATGAATAACACTCCGTATATATCATTACTAAAGAATTAGAATCTAAAGTTTCAAACTTATTGTTTTTATTTGTAGGACAAAATTTATAATTTTAGATAATTTTCTAAATGCGTTTTAACAATTTCAACATTTTGCTATGTGTCACGATATACTATTATCCTACAATTGAAATAATTAAAATAAACTTAACACTGATTTATATTTTAAAATATTCATTCAGAATTGAAAAGAATGGTCTTTCAATATATCGTTTTTAAGTTTTTAAAATGAAAAGATTACATTAAAGCTATCGGAATACTTTCTAACGCGACGCGTTCTATTGTACTTTCGAAAAGTATGGTTTTAAGATGGTTTGCAAAAATAAGCTTCTCGATTCGATCGTATGCTCGAGAAGCGAGTGATTCGGTAACCTTCGCAATATGTATCGACAAATATGTCATTCTCCTCCGCGACTCTTTCGCTCTTTTCACATCTCTCGTTTTCTTCTCTCTCCGAGAGAGGCTCCTGCCTATTTTGCGACCACCCTCTCTCTACGGGCGCGCGTTGCCTCGCGTGTGTCTGTTGCCGCGGTGCGATATCTGAAAGGGGTACGTTCCCTCCATCCCCCTGAGCGTCGCGACGCGATCGCATCCTCTCGCGCGCGCAAGAAAACTCATCGTTGTCGGCCTCGTCGTCCTCGTCGTCATCGTCGGCCCTCCGCTTCGTCCTCTCTCGCCCTCCCTCACACTCGCGTTTCGTAACGCGAAGGGGTGGGGGGGGGCGAGATACGAGGGAGCTATCACGATGAGAAAGCGCGCGACCGGGTGGTGGAAAAGTGGACGGGGCCAGATAGGGCCACGCCCCGATCGCGGACAACGCACGCCAACCCGACGCGGCACCCGAGGGTGTCCCTCTGTCCGCCACCGGCGCGGCTGGCGCGGCTCACGGGGGCCCACGGGGGTGGCTTTGTCGGTGCGCGCGAGGAACGGAGCGAGACGAGTAGGGTAGGAAGGTAGCGCGCACCGCGTCCACGCGGCATCGCGGCGGCCACCGCTATGGCTAGTCCACGAATATCCTTTATCGGGGAGATGTCACTTTGTGTCCGCGACGCGCGACGCTAGGCGCCCTGACGGCGACGGCGGCCGGAGTGGATAAAGTGCGGCCGGCGACGACGAGTAGACGGCGAGCGAGGGGACGCTCGGATCACGGACACGAATACCTGCCGCGGTGGAGATATCGGATTCGCGCCTTTTCCCATCTCTCGCGCGACCTCGACCCGTCGTCTCCCGCCGATGTTGAGCGCCGATGACTTGGACGTCGGTGAACGAATCGTCCGCGAGGCAGGAGCCTCGTATTCGTACACGGGACAGATTCATCCCGTCCGGCTGTAGAGGATAGAGAGATAAATATAAAGGAAGAGGAAGACAGGGACCAGCGATCCTCAAAAAAAATTGTCTAAGGTTCGCACGCGGTGCTCAGAAAGACTCGCGGGAAGTCGACTGCGCGCGGTCATTCTCGTTCTTACGATGCGAGCGAGAATGTAGCGACACGTCCGGAGAACGAGGACAGATCGAGGAGCATCCTTCGTTTTCGCGAAGGACCTCGAATTTACTCGCCGGCTTTATCTCGCTCGAGTAACGCCAAGGCACACACGGACACGACACACATACACATACACACATACGTACCTAATACCCGCGAGCTCGAGAATCCCACGTTACGTAACATGGTAGAGAGCACTTATGCGAGCGACTCGCCGAGATCACGCTCGCCCATGACGGAGCCGTCGAGTCCGCTGCACTCGGATGGTCCCGGTATATCCGGCTACGGTCACAGCTATCTCTACAGCTACTCGCCGGACGCGCAGAATCACGTCGCGGTGGCGACGAGGCGCAACAATCAGAACGAGACGGTCGCCGCCGATGCCGTGCACGAGCGCACGTTCGCCAGGAGTCCGATCGGCACATCGGAGGAGACGATGCCGCGGCACCGGCACGGTGCGCGCGAACCGGTCGTTCCCTCGCGACCCGCGACCGGCACCTCCGCCTCCACCATGTCGTCCCCCACCTCGCTCTTCACCATCGACAGTATCCTGGCGCCGAGGCCGATCGGCAACGTCGTCGCGCCCACCAGCACCACCACCGTCGCCGCATCCGTGATCCAGACGCCGGAGACGATCGAGTCGGCCGCCGGTCGCACCACCACCGCGGCGATGCACCCCCTGCAACAGCAGCTGCACCACTTGGCGTTCACCTCGGCGGATTTTCTTGGTGGGTAACACACGCTCCTCTCTCCGAGGAGATCGGTGTGAAAGCTCCTCTTCTCGGGTCTCGGGAAGTCGGTCAAAGGGGAGACGCGGAGACGGTCAAAGGGGATCTTAAGACCCTCTTTCCGAATCTCTTTTCCGAACGTCTTTTACACTTTTCAGTTCGAACTCCCGTCATTCGGGATTCTCGTACGCGTGAAATGATAATTAACACTTCCCCATTGAAATTATCCGTAATCCTATAAACGACCATCTTTTATCGTTTTCGTGTAATTGTACCTTGAACGGACTCGATTCGTATCATTGTCCGCATGTCATTAAATTGAATTCACATCGCTGGATTATATTGAACCCTTACGTGCGACGAGTCGGCAATAAATACAGTTTTCGAACCGAGAAACTAATAGAAATAATAACGAGCGCTCGGGATCGCTCGTATCGAACAATTACGCGAAGTCGAGGGCGAACGATTAATTTATGCGTGCCGTTGGAAATGTTAATTGCATTTATTCGATTACATTACAGTTTTATCAAGCGATATCGAGGCAATATATCATTCTTTACAATCTTTTTTGCAATACGAATGAGAATGTCGATAATGTTCAGAATGCCGGCCGTCAATTTAACCGGCGCATTTATGGAAAATCAAAAACTCGTCGGAAGAGCCCAATCTCCACATACTTTTATATCCCGTAAATGAATTGGTAAATGATTTTCCCGATACAAAGCGATATATGAAGTGAGTTGAAAAAAATTATTTATTAACTCTAAAAATGAGAGAAAAAAATTTGGACAGTTATAAAATATTATAAGGCTTCATATCCGAATTAAACCGGAGCGATTATTCGACACTATATTACATCTATGATGCGTGAAACTTTGCTCGTTCGCCCGATTTATTCTAACCCTACATTTTTTTTAAACGCATCTCGATAATTAACTCACACATTCGCGCGGTAACAAACGTTTTACGAGCATTTTGAGCTCGCATATACATTTGAGTTTTACTATCGTTAATAAATTCTATAAGATCATTTCCTATATATATATATATATATACGTAATACTT